TAAGGACTAGGTGCCTTCACAATAACTGTGTGTGGCCCACAAGTTACTGTGGGTGCTACTTAGCGCCAAATATGAGGCGTTTTAAATAACGCCATGTCGCTCATTTACCAGAGTTCAGAATGACCTGAGAGGTTGGACGAGTTCTTACTCAAATTATGAGGAACTGCGTGGAATTCATGTGGAACCCAGAACTCTGATAACTGCTAGGATGACCCATGATTTTGAGCCCTACATCGGCTGATCTTAATTTCCGATCTCTTGTGTGTTAGACTTTCTTCTGTCGCTTTGGTTTTGACGTTCTGAACACATGGCATAGCAACGACTACAAGTAGACGCGATTTTGTTCTCAAAACACCGGATAATAATATCCGGTTTGTTGTCTGTCATCTTACAATGCGTATAGATTTGTTGGTCATGCAATATTGCACACTGTCCCACAGGTTTTGATGAGCGTTTGTACCATTTTTTGATGCATATTTTTTTTTATCTTAAAGGGTATTACAGATGGGTCATTTGAAAAAACGGCAGAACTAATCGTGTCTTGACGTATATTTGGACAATGCTACATAGAATGGTTTCTATCTGTTCCTGACAATTACGTCATGTATTATCCTGGGAAATTTGGAGGACCATTTTATCTGGTTATTTTATCACCTACTGCGTACATACGTAGTTTTCCTAACCTTTTTCGATACTGTCCAAGAAGTGGATTGTATCTTCACTCTCTATTTAACATTTTTATCGCATTCTTTTTCAAGCAGCACTAGATATTCATGGACCGTGTTATTCTACATGACTTATATTCGTTTCCTCGTAATGCTTGATCAAAATTATGTTCTTTATACTTATTATTATTATTATTATTATTATTATTATTATTATTATTATTATTATTATTATTATTATTTCTAAAACGGTATTTTGGTATAGCGGTTAATTTTTCTTACGCGTAACACGCAGGACGAAGGCCCACGCGGGCGTACGAATGAACACGTTGTCTCTGCGCGGATGAAGCGGGGCTCCCCCTGGGAGGCAAATCGCTGTCACGAAGTCGGCGAACGTGCTGTGAAGCCACTGCCGCGGCTCGGGCATTCAGCCTCCGCTCCGTGGGAGCCGGTGAGAAGAAACGCACTCGCAGAGGAAGCTATCAACGTAATCTGCCCTGTGCTTGATCTCACTGCAATAAAATAAATTCTCTAGTTCATAGTCCGACGAAGATGTGCAGAAACTTGCGTATCGAGGAATACATTTTTATTGCCGAAATAAATACGCAGATGATGTTATTGTCATATTTATACTATTACTAAGCATGTTCTGAACTCATGTTTCCCGATCAAATATTATGATTACTATACTTTATTTTAATTTAAAGTATATTTCTTTGAACTATCTTTGATCTTAAATCAATATACAATTAAAATATATAATTAAATATTAAATATTTTCGATTGTACTTGATTTTTTGAAGTTTATAAAATAAGAAAGATGCTGAGTGAAAAACAGTTATAAATTCATTATTATGGGTAATGTTGGCCAGCGGTATAACCTACAGATTCATAGCCTGAGGAGTATATATAACGAAACCGTAAACTTTTAGTACTAAGTACAAAAAAATAATAATAAAAAATAAAAAGATACATTACATTCGTTTGAAATACAATACAAGGAAAAATGCATTACTGACAGGAGCAAGTTTCATCTAGAAAAGCCTGTTTTTTTAATTTCACAAATGTTTGACAGCAATATGACAAAATATAAATTAAATCAGCATATGGAGAAAGGGAACGTGTCAAAAATGCAATTATATGCGGGGGATGTTGTTCTTTAAATATTTCTTTACATTCATACTATCAAAAATTAAATGGGAAGAATGGTAGCAATGAAACTTATGGGAAAATTTGAAATCCACATGCAAATTACGATTGCCGTGAGACAGCCCAAAAGGTTCATTGTAAAACGTTTTAAAACCTTAATAAAATAATGAAGCTAACTGACTCAATCCAACTCTTCAAATCCAGCGCCTGTGCTAGTCATTTCCGACGACACATTTAGCTAGTGCCTAGTTTCGACACATCAGAGCGCTACTGTTACTTGTTGCATTTTCGTAAATACACCCAGAGGAACATTCCCCATTGCAGAGCAAATTCAGCTTTCTCAGAAGGTGGAGCTTTTTTTCAGTGCGCGACGTCCGTTTTTTATGATTTCTTTAAGAAATTGTTTATGTTCCCGAAACAGGAATTGGTGAGTCCGACGAAATGGAAAGCATTCTTCTTGCTTAGAAGGAGAGATATTTTTCTCTGATAGATATTATGTGGTTTCCTTCATTAGTGTCAAAATAACTATGAACCAAAACTTTTATAAAAAAAAGTATGGAAATAGTTCATTTTATTTTGTATACGATACCCAGATATATTTTTTTTTAATTTTCCACATTCTAGTATCTTTAGAAGAATATGGACTTGCTCCTAACAACCGAAACCTTGCTTATCGCTCTTGCACGTAATGACAGTTGGTGATGCCAACATACTAAACATATAGAAAGATATAGAATACAGATATGAATTATTGATGTTAATTAACAATACAATCGGTGTACGCAACTTGCAGATAGATTCGTCCATGTGCGGAGCTGTGTGTAATTCAATTTTACGTTTCAATTTTTCTCATTTTACTTTTTTTTGTGTTTCAATGTCGGTCTAACAATGTATTCCATACATTGTTTAACTTACAACTGACGTAGTTTCATTACATGATTACCGATGGCAGATACTTTACAACGTAACGTAGAACAAATGTAGTTGTAGAAGTTTCGTAGCAGTTGGTTCTTTCAATAAGAACTTGTTTGTGAACACGATAATCGAAAACACATGGAGAGTGTTCGGTGGTCAAATTTGTTCTCTTCTTTAATGCTTCGTATACTGAGTATCTCAACTACTATGTACCACCTTTATAACTTCTAAACGGTTCACGATATCAAAATGTAGTTTTCGCCCAACAATATTGAATCATGGAGCAAATATGCAGCAGAGTTATTGTTTGTAATTTTAGTTTTGGAGAAATCTAATCACCATCGATTCTTTAAATGGAGCTACATAATTTATTCATATACACTGGATAGATTAGACGTAAGATAGCGCGCATATAACTAGCTTGCTAGATTGTCGGGAAATCCAGCATCAAGGCTAACTACCGAGCGTCCAGGATAATTGTTGCAAAGTCTAAAAGTGAGGATTGTGTGTAAATTGCTTCGGAGCGTGCGCTAGTACATATCAGTCTTGGAAAAGTCATTTGACAGTTTTGCGGCAAAAATGGCGATGTTGATTCCCATTTTTCCTATTAAAGCAAAGACGTTATCTACGTAAATGATTTATTACATCAGCCATGTTAAAGTAATCAAGTGACAGAAAAAATCTGCGTATTGATTCGAAATTATTTTAATTTCGTAATCGCGTTTTCTTGAGTGTGCATAATTGCTACGTTATTCTTATAAATTAGTACTTTCAGGTTACCACCAAATATTTTTGTATGCTACAAGATCTGTTTACCCATAGGAGTGATCTAAAAAATCGAAAAGGAATGAGAAGATAAATTACATAGTTATTTTGTAACAACTATTTAAAAAAAGATTACACCTGACAAAAGCAGCCAGTAAATTTACTATTGTATTACTTCTACTAATTGGCAAAAATGAGTATTCAAGGAATAATTTAAACAGAAAACAATCGGTAAATAAAAGAATAGGTAAAATATATAAACATCATTTATATTTCCGTTGTTTGACATGTTTTCATATGAAGCAACCATTCTTCCTAATATATAGAGCACGCATTGCAGTTTCTTACTTCACAACAGCTTGAGCGTTTTCACACCCATTCTGAATATGAAGGGGAGAAAAGAGTTGTATCGGGTGAAATTGTTCATTCCCGCACGGGCACCGGGTGAGCAAGTTGCTCGTGCGGGGGCATTTTGACGCGACCCGAATAGATAATGAAGAAAGAAGTACAATGATTATCATTTGTTAATTGTTTACACATTAAAAGTAATATAGAGTAAAAAGTATACTTTTGACACGTGATTTAAAATTATATGCAGTAGTTGTTAGGGACAAGATTTCTTTTAGCAGCCCTTGCAGCGATCGCCTTTGGAGGTGGCCTTCACGGCGCCGATCCCTTAGTCTTGGCAGCGAGGGTAGGAGTCGATGGATTTTTTACAGTTACTCTACTTCCTACTAGAAGTATACAACAGAACACAAAATTCAAAATACGTTTCAAATAAAATAACTTCGATCTGATAGTACGTTTACGCAATTCAACAGCAATACACATCTGCAGTCGCGACTGCAAAGGCCATGGAACTGATTGCAGTGTCTTCACGAGACGTCGGCACTCTCCCATGAGCAACGTTTTTTTTATTTTCCCCAACAGAAAAACGATTGAAAGCACGAGATGTGGAGAATGCGAGGGCCCAGTATTTAACCACTGCCTTAAAGTTGTTTGGATATTCTTTCTTCAGATTTCACCTTGGAGCGGTGGCAAAATGTGAACAGCAACAGGCGTGCTGAAAACATCTCAGAAGAGAAGAAAATTTTTTGAAAAATGTATTATTTTATTGTTAATTTATTAAGAACGAAGATTATTATCAGTAATATAATAGAAAATTGATAATAATTCTTGATTTGATGAATGATTTCGAAATACTGTGAAAGATCTTCTTTCTTCCCTTGTCCTTAACAGACGTCGGATTATTTCTATAGCCATTACAAGCCAGCCTTAATTCTTGTTAAGTTTGAAAATGATCATTATTATCTTTATGTCGTCAGGTTTTTATATCGTTCTTTTTGGATGTTGATACGTTGTATTTTCAATGAATGGTAGAAACCTTCAATTCAATTGAATCAATGGCAGAAAAAGATGATCTTTCATTTTGATCTTAATTATTGTTTGAAATAATTGTTTCAAACAATAATACACAATAATTTTTGAAATAATTATTGTTTCTAGGTCCTCCTCGACAGGATTGTTGTGTTTACGCTTCTATCCTACCTGCCTCCCGGCTCAGTCTAAAGGTCTCAGCGTCGCGAAGGCCACCTGCCCCGAAGCCGTTTGGTGCAAAGGCTACTATAAGGAAATTATTGGCCCTACTGACTACTGCGTACAATATCAAATTGTGTGTCACAAATGTTTCACTCAAAATTAACTTTGAATAATTAACAAATTATATTTAATGTATTTCTTTTTAGAATCTGCTCATTGCAGGAGAAAAAGCCCTGTAGTTTCTTGTAAAAAATAAAAAAAAAATGGTTCAATTTCTCTAAAATTCAAAATTTTTTAAATATCTACGGTGTATTACCTTTCCCATGATCCAGTATGTCAAGCGAAAATTGCAATTTCGATACCGTGAACCGCTTGGAAGTTATGAGGCTTTATAGTTGATCCGATTTATTACTTTCTGCCAAAGGAGTCTTTCTCGTGTAACTGTTTCTCTGCATATAGAGAAGCACACATGGTGGTTTGTGAAAGAGTTCCCCCTAGATTTTTTCATACCAAACATTTTTGAACAACTCATGTAAAATGACCCACTCCAAGTTACGAGGGATATTACAGACATACAGGTGATCATTTTGTAGGAAGAACATTAAAAACATAACTCAAAAGGAGATGATTGTGTCTGGACCTCAAATAGACGGCAGTTGAAATCAACCGAAAATTGTTGGCTTTGGTAAAATGTACTTTCTTATAAAAAATTACATGTTTAATGAATAGTTAACTGAATTCAAATAAGGTGTACCAAGTCACCCGTATGAAGTCACGTAATTTCGTCGATAAGTAACGGAACTGCACTTTACACCTTCAATTTGTTTCATACTACATCTTGTATGTTATTTATTTAATCAACGTGCAATGTCAGTTACCTCCAAAGGAAATTATGAGTGAGAGGTTTTCCACTTCTTTGCCAATAGGTAAGTTCGTGATCGGAGGCCAATATTCTTCCCGAAAATCGAAGGCTTCTGAAACCCTTTATCAGAAATATTTAGTTCTAAATCACTCACTCGAACTCTTCATTGATAATCATTGCAAATTAAATCGAATGTAAATTACCTTAATGATAGTTTATGTCCACTGAAGTGTGCTGAGGGGCAGTGATGGCATGATTCTGTGCAGATTTCGCGAAGGAAGGCCATACAGAAGCAAAGAAATAGAAAATAAAACGTGAAAGATAGGCAGCAACACTTTGCAATGTTAGGGTGTTCCATGCCAGCTTAAAATTAACAGATTAACACGTTAACCGTTGATTAGGATGGTATATTGCGATACCATCCTGTAATATTAAATGGGTATATAATGTTCCTTGGGCTTTAGCTAATCATTGAAAGAAAAGAAAAGATAACAAAAACACCTTTGCCACTTTATTTTCATCTTTATTTATTTCATAGTTCATGAAATCAAGTATAGTAACACGTAATATATTACCTTCAGTTTTCACGTAAACATTTTCAGATAGGCATATGAAACCGCACCCGCACGAGCGACTTGTCTATCTGGGAAGTCCGCGCTCCTGCAAACATCGCCAATTCCCTTTTCTCTGCTCGCCCTTCCCCTCCAAATCCGGAAGGAAGGTACATGCACACGTTGAAGCGAAAAGGTAAGCGCAAAGTGTTTTCAAACATCTAAGAATAGTGGTGTGATACAGAAATTTCTGCCTGATGTTTCGTATCAGTCAACCGAGATTTGAAAGTTTATATACATTACTTATTACTTTAGTTTATGTTCATTACCTTTTTAAATTTTGCCTTGTATTAACATTTTTGCTTGGGGAAGTAATTTGAATGGCGAATTCGTATCTGATTTTTCTTTTTTTGTTATTTTGTTAAATCATTATGATATTTGCTGTATATGATAATCGTGTTAAATAAATCAACAAGTATCTCTTAAGAGCAGATAGTTACTTTAACATACTAGATTTTCGACTAAATTTTTGAACAGGAACCTGGAAAGTTATTGTATTTATATCATACAAAATCAAGGTTGTTTTCGATTCAAAATTTTAATTGTACACTCAATTGACAATTGAAATATGATTGATGAATTTAAAGTTAAAGATAGTTTTTATGTTTAGTAGGGTAAATTGGAATTAATTTCGCTTCTGCGACACTTTATTTGACCCTCTCAATTACAACTTGAAAGTAATAAAAGTAAACAGCGGAGTTCCTTACGTATTAGAACTTGGCAATTGTATTCGTTGCTCTTGCGTTATCAGTAGCGTCCTTGCCAAGCATTCGGGAATTCAACAGTTCAATTTCCAGCTGAAGACTAAATCGTTGTCATTATTTTAAATATAAGTTTAAAAATGAATGTCGATAGCACTTTTACAAGTTTGCGTCTACATATTCTTGATGTTTATGAAGAATATGGATTTGGCTACACTTGCATTACACTGAAAAGTAATGTAAAAATTAACGTTACCAACAGATTTCATTTGATGTAATAAATCAGTGTTGCTCTTAACAAACTATTTTTAATGAATTATATTTATTAATTTCTTTTAGCTACTTATTCCTCAAATGAATTATAAGTAACTAAAATTTTAAAATTACTCATGAGTGGTTCCGTTATTGTATGTTCATGTTTTTTTCCTGAGTACGAACAAATACCTGCCTGTACCTGTCTGTATGTACAAATATTGTACTGAATTTACAAATATTGTGAGATGGTGACAAAAGAATGCTGGAGATGGTTTATGACGTACTGCCTACTCAAATTGTAAAATCTAATTCTAGTTTACAGTTCCTAGAATTTAAATTATTGTAACACTCGTCCGTTCAAATTGCCTCATACCTAGAAGTAAAATCAGGAACAAGAGCTTCGTAATTGAATGTCACTTAATTAATATTTAAGAAGTTAACATTTGCACTGGATTACATATCAGTTCTATGAATGTAGGCCGCGTAATTAATTTTTGAACATTGGTTACGCTCATGAGTACTTATATTCAGCTTGTAAACATAAAAAAATTAAATAAAAAATAGAGAAAACCGCAGCACACTGTTTGAATGAAAAACTAGACAAATTTGGCGATGAAACATTCAACAAACGGAATTTCTTGAATTCTGGAAATATTAGGTGGGTTGAACATACGAAAGTGGACATTAAAATGGGAATGACGCATATGCTTTCACCAAAAGGGTGTTTCATAGATGGCAGTGCACCGTTCAGCTACTTTTAGTACCATTTTCATTCAAGTATTTGACATATTTCTACCTGAGACCAGAATGTGTGATAAAATATGTATGATTCGTTGTAATGTACATTTAATACAGAGAATATTCGAACAATAAACAAAATCGAAAGTAAATATAACCACGAAAGTAATATCTTGTTTCTCGTCGTTTCTTTAACTTTAATAACACTTGGAATTGAACCTACAAACATTTCTATGTTGTTTGGTTCAATTTTTTTCACTTCCTTGCCAGAACTTGCTTAAAATGTTATTCGTTTCTTGTTGTGTGTTGTATTCGTTTTTTTTCTTTTTTTTGCCACATTTTCAATTACCCAAAGATCTGGACTTTATTCAGGTGTCTAGATCGCCGTAGGGCAGTTGCAGAGAATCCATAGTATTCTGAATGGGCCGTGTGAGATAATTATCTTGGTGCAGCACTTGTTCGTAGAGTTCGTAGATTGCGCTGCACTTGTTTGTGCTTGTCCGTATATTGCGCTGCAGAATTTGGTGATATTGGTCTTTTCTATATTACTTAGCATTAAATTGTATTTGTTTCCCCATTTTGCTTATTGCCCCCCTTCTCACAATCAAAGTGTCACGTCCATCCTTCGCAGTTGGACATATATTTTTTTAAATAAGCTTATTTGCTTCTCTCCTTTCTGAGACGATAAAAAATAACGCCTTGCCGTTGCACAGTTTTTTTCTGCAAATACTTTTGAACAACTTCAAAGCGTCTGCATTTATCCTTCTTAATGGTGAATGGTTTTCTCCTTGTTACTCGACCGTGTAAACTCTCCCTGGGAAGTTGTACTTTCTATATCTTGACTTGCTGTTTTCCTGAAATTCTTTAATATTGCCAAGATTAGTTTCATGGCACTAATGCGTATTTCCTTTTTCACAATCATTGTCACAGCAGCGCCAAGTAGCTCTGCCCGCCAATTCTCACATTCCCATGGGTATATAACTCGCTTAGTAGACGCACGGATCTTGACTTTCTTTACGATTATGCTCTTCGAATCACCATTGGAACGATGACCTAGTATCAACAGCCTCTTGCTTTCTTCACTTTTTATGACCCAAAATCGTAAAAGTTTCTTGATCAAGCTCTGAGCAAGACAAACCAACTGCGCCTCATCACCAGAAAATTGTGCAGTATTCGATTGGGGATAGCGGGGGTCAAATACTTTCATTCGTTCTTGGTTGACTGGTGGAAAAATTCTCCAGATGTCAAGTTAAAGCCATTAGACGTTGAAATATTCTAGTTTTGCAGTATTATATTGTACGTACATGGATGAAATAAAATTAAAAAAATATTAATGTTCTGTTGTAATGATGGGAATGTTAGTAGACACTCACGTGCGCACAAAGGGACTGGTGGAGTACATATGAGAAAGCTTGTAGTTGAAATTTGGATCATAATTTCGAAATATTTCCAAAAGTAAAGAAGCTAAAATGCCTTTTCACCGGTTATGAGCGCAGTTGCCTCGCAGAGATTAAATCGCCATTTCCATTTATCTGCATTCATATTTCGTCGCGTTAATACACGAGTCGTATTCATGACGACAACTGCCAAGACCGGCGACCATTCAAAGAGCGATCTAAGCGATTCTAGCCGGGATGGGCGTTCTACTAGAGTAGGAGTAGTTGCAGTTGCTTTGTAACACTATTGTAATCAGCGTTCCATCGTTTAAGCAGCCATTCTGGAATTCTATAAGATCAGATAGCTCTTTTGGTTCGTGTACATGAGTACGCTATGAACACTGCCCATATTCCAAAAAGAGGTATCAACGCCAGTGCATTGTGGAAGTCTACCCCAATCCAAAATTTTCTCAGCGGCAGAGAGCTATGAAGCATGTACTTCACTACGAGGCTCGCACACGTTGTTCTGCAAAAACATCTTTTACATGGAATCGAGCCCGCGTCTGGAGAGCCGGAAACAAAGTGAAACTGACCCTCGAGTAGTTGGCTATCCAGGTCGACGTCACCCGAACACGTGGGTGAGGACCGGTTGCGTTATCTCAGTGGTAGCACCATCGTTGAGACAGTGGTGACGGTTCGACACTAGCTACTAGCTGGGTCGAATTTAGTCGCTGCCTGGAGGAGAATTCTAGAGGTCGACTGTTCTGATCGTGGTTTTAGTGGATTCTCCGATCAATACCAAGCGAATGCCGCAACATAACAAACAGTCCACGAATTGCGCGCCATCTTTCCTCTGTCTTTTTCTTTCGTCTGTCTTTTTCTTTCGTCTGTCTGTCTTTCCTTTTTTTCTTTTTCTGTCTTTTCTTTCCCTTTTCTCTCTCACACACATGCTTGTACGGTTTGGTGTCTTTCAGTAGGAAATGCCCGGGGGAGGGGGGAGGAACCCGAAACACGAAACCCAACGTATATGTAATTGCTCCTTGGATACAACCTACACTTCACTTACGGAGCAAATGAGTTACGTAATTGATGCATCCGGCATACTCAGTTGCGTAGGTGTATGGTTAGGGCCCTTTTATTTTCAGCCCCATTTATCATAACCCGGGTCTACGTAGAAAACTGAGTGACAGGTCCGCCAATCGCTCAATGTGTGACCTGGCCGGAGCAGCCCAATGGGCAGCCTTCTCGCACGGTTGCAGTATAGTTCTAATAAAGAGTCCTTTCGTATTCTTCAGATAGGCTTTCAGCTTGTGACCTATAAGATCAAATCGCATTATTCGTTTGGTAACTTCGTGCCTCAAAATATCGAAAATCTGACAATCTATTTACTATATGGACGTTTTTAAAGAAGTGCTTACAAACCTTTAATGTAGCTTATATCTGTGAATATGGTTTTTCGACGCTTTAGAACTGTGAACAAAAATCTGACAGTAAATTTTGAAAACCGAATTCGATATCAATGTACCAGAAATAAAAGGCAAAACTGAACAATTGCTTCAACCTTCAACAATTGCCTCGGTTTCGGCGAGTGAGAGAGAATGCAGTCGAGGGTCTACCAATTTAATATTTTAGTTCATGAATAGTAAGTTTCTTAATAGTAGGCCGATTTTTCAATTTTTTTGTTCTAAATAATCAAAGGTTCCTGAGTTGTTGAGATTCCAATAATCTAATTTCAAATTGTGACTAATGCATAATTAAAAGAAAAATGTTTATGTTCATAGTTTAGGTATTTTTAATATTTTCAGGAAATAACAAATATTCTTATTACCAAACATTATTTATTTTTATTACGTTTGTTACTTTTACGAGAATCGGATAAATTAATCGTCGATTTTAGTTGGGACACTAGGAACTATCACGGAAGTCCGATGGAGGGTGCTCGACACTAGCCGCCGGACTGAGTTGACAAAAAAGTGCGGGTCATATTTGAAGATGCCAATTGCTATGCTTTGACCTGCCTCTCAGTAGCCGGTTCCCCTTCTATTCACAGTCGCATGCCTTTCGTCGAGTATAGTAGTTTAGCTCATTTTCTTTAATGAGAACTAATATTCAAGGTGATTTCTCACCTCGAAGGCTTTCATAGAAGGCACCATTGATATGGTAATTAACCTACCTGGTGTGAGACCAAATTCATTAGAATTACGAATGCCCATAGTAAATGTGAATCAACAGCATAATTATGAGATTGAAAGAAATATTAAATGTTCCTACAAACTGGCTCAGGAAATAAATTGTATTTCACGAGAATTTACAACGCAATACTTCACATATATTCAAAAAAATGTTTCAAGAAATAAATTGCACTACTTCGCATGCACTTGCTTCAATGGAGTTTATGTTCAAGTTCTGCCATCGATTTCAAAGAACGGAAAAAGTGTTTAAGTACCTTCTGAATTCTAGACATTATGTCTGAAAATACAACGGTGAACAAAATTTGCTCATATATACAGACAAATACAATGTCGAGGAATCTCGTAAAACATGTTTTACAAATAAGCATTGTGCGTTCGTGTGCATTTACGTTCAACGACGTGTTGCAACATCCTAGAGTTGCATTACCTTCTGTAATCGGCTAAGTGATTGTTGTATTTTTCTGGAGCAGAAGGGCGCGAATCCGGCGGAGGGTAGAGGGTAGATAGGTAGGTAAACGACGCGAAGTCCATAGAATAACGGCGGACTCAACAAAACAGTCTCCACTGAGGAGTGGTTCCTCCCTTCACCTGGTCGCCTAAATAGGCCGCAGCACGTGGAGTCGCGCGGTCGCGCCCTCCTTCCCCTGCCCCGCCCCTCCCCCACCACAACCCTCGTGCTCTGTCCTGCCCGGCCGTGCTGCCGGATGACGGATGCGAGCCGCTGCGGAATGGCACGACGCGGCGCGGCCGAATTTGACTTTTCTCGCTGAAGCCGCCTCCTCTTTCTCCGCTCGGCCGCAGTCGCCTTCAGGTTCACAGTGGTTGGGAACACGATAGTTGTTCGAAATGACTCAGAGCATCGGTTATGAAACTTGAGAATTAGTGATTTTTTTTCGGTCAGGGGTTGTTCTCAGGTTTTTCTCTGTTGGTCTGCTTTTGTAGTTAAAATTGTAACCATCTCTTGAGTTAAAAGTGAAGATCTCAGTTGACGTCGGTTCGCAGAAAACCCAAGATTTCCTTTGAACCTATCGAAAAAAACAACAACAGAAAAATATAAAGTTAATTTCCTAATTTCCAGGTTATTTGTAAATATTTTTCTCGTTTTTAGCATATTTTGAGAAAGTAAATAATAATGCCTATATGTCGTAAGTATAGCATTATTCAAGATTATTCAGTGACGCACAAATCTTACTTCACAATAAAATTTGCAATGAAAAGGGCTGATACTACAGGCGTATTTCGACCATCAACGGGGAAAGTTGAAGAAACAGTCACGGGGAAAGTTGAAGAAACATGATGCCGTTTATTCACTTAAAATCATATTTTGGCAGTCAATGCCTTAACTACCCTTATTCTCAGACATAGTGAGAAGGCTTGACGGCCGTAATTGGCTTCTTGAACACTGTGCTTTACCATCACTTCCCCCGTCGCCAGCATCCGCCTGCACCTCCACTTCCACCTCCCCCCCCC